TAAATTACCCAGACATTATACAGTTTTCATACTAGGAACAGAAAAATAAAGGAGACACAATCGCCTCTTAGTATAACTTTGGGCTACAAAAACTGGGCCTCGGGATCTAAATTTAATATATAGAACCAGCTTATTATTTTATGTCCTCTGTAATGGACATTTGTTTTTGATCAATATCTTTTTACTTATTTGAGCTACCCTACTAAGTCCCGATGTACTAAATAGAGGGCTTTCCATTAATATCTCATGTGTTTGAGTGGCCTCTTTTAACGCTAAAGAGGAAGGAAAATTACAAAAAAGTTCAATGGGAAGATTCATTTTTCCTCGGTTCTCAGAGAATATATAGTAGTTGAAGCAAAAAGTGAAGGCGATGAGGGCTGTGATCACTAGGTGGCAGCATTACAACCATGAGAGTTTAGTCTGTTCTGAACTAGTTCTCAAACTTTTCCTTGCCAAATAACACTTTTTAAAATCACTAATATTTTTTTTAAATGAAAGAAATTAAAGTAATCAAAATAAGTCCAGTTCCAAAGTATCAGCAAACGTCATTTCCCTTAAAACGAATATATTGATTCAACTTAGTTTTGGTTTTTTTTGTTGTTTTTTTTAAACTCACTGGGTATTTTGTTCGGTACATGTACAAGGGCTTGCAAAAGTATTCGGCCCAATTGGACTTTTCCACATTTTGTCACATTACAGCCACAAATATGAATCAATTGTATTGGAATTCCACGTGGAAGACCAACACAAAGTGGTGTACACGTGAGAAGTGGAACCAAAATTATACGTGATTCCAAACATTTTTCACAAATAAATAACTGAAAAGTGTGGTGTGCGTAATTATTCAGCCCCCTGAGTAAATACTTTGTACAACCACCTTTTGCTGCAATTACAACTGCCAGTCTTTTAGGGTCTGTCTCTACCAGCTTTGCACATCCAGTGTTAAATTAACACTAGAGAGTGTCTATATGGGTCCACTCCTCTGAGTGTTAAATACAACACTGTTGAGTGTTAAATTAACACTTTTGACAGTGTTATATGTTTAAAAGTAACCTAGTCAGTTTTGAAGATTAACAATGACTAACACTGAGCAGTGCTGATTTTCTAACACTGGAATATTTCTAACATTTTGAGTTATTTTCCAGTGTTAGAAAATCAGCACTGCTCAGTGTTAGTCTTTGTTAATCTTCAAAACTGACTAGGTTACTTTTAAACATATAACACTGTCAAAAGTGTTAATTTAACACTCAACAGTGTTGTATTTAACACTCAGAGGAGTGGACCCATATAGACACTCTCTAGTGTTAATTTAACACTGGAGATTTTGCTGTGTAGAGACTGAAATTCTTGCCCATTCTTCTTTGCAAAACAGCTCCAGCTCAGTTAGATTAGATGGACAGCGTTTGTGAACAGCAGTTTTCAGATCTTGCCACAGATTCTCGATTGGATTTAGATCTGGACTTTGACTGGGCCATTCTAACACATGGATAGGTTTTGTTTGAAACCACTCCATTGTTGCCCTGGCTTTATGTTTAGGGTCGTTGTCCTGCTGGAAGGTGAACCTCCGCCTCAGTCTCAAGTCTTTTGCAGACTCCAAGAGGTTTTCTTCCAAGATTGCCCTGTATTTGGCTCCATCCATCTTCCCATCAACTCTAACCAGCTTCCCTGTCCCTGCTGAAGAGAAGCACCCCCAGAGCATGATGCTGCCACCACCATATTTGACAGTGGGGATGGTATTTTTCAATGTAATGTGCAGTGTTAGTTTTCCGCCACACATAGCGTTTTGCATTTTGGCCAAAAAGTTCCATTTTGGTCTCATCTGACCAGAGCACCTTCTTCCACATGTTTGCTGTGTCCCACACATGGCTTGTGGCAAACTGCAAACGGCACTTCTTATGGTTTTCTGTTAAAAATTGCTTTCTTCTTGCCACTCTTCCATAAAGGCCAACTTTGTGCAGTGCACGACTGATAGTTGTCCTATGGACAGATTCCCCCACCTGAGCTGTAGATCTCTGCAGCTCGTCCAGAGTCACCATGGGCCTCTTGGCTGCATTTCTGATCAGCGTTCTCCTTGTTTGGCCTGTGAGTTTAGGTGGACGGCCTTGTCTTGGTAGGTTTACAGTTGTGCCATACTCCTTCCATTTCTGACTGATCGCTTGAACAGTGCTCCGTGGGATGTTCATGGCTTAGGAAATATTTTTGTAGCCCAAGCCTGCTTTAAATTTCTCAATAACTTTATCCCTGACCTGTCTGGTGTGTTCTTTGGACTTCATGGTGTTGCTGCTCCCAGTATTCTCTTAAGACAACCTGAGGCCGTCACAGAGCAGCTGTATTTGTACTAACATTAGATTACACATAGGTGCACTCTACTTAGTCATTAGCACTCATCAGACAATGTCTATGGGCAACTGACTGCACTGAGACCAAAGGGGGCTGAATAATTACGCACACTACACTTTGCAGTTATTTATTTGTAAAAAATGTTCGGAATCATGTATGATTTTTGTTCCACTTCTCACATGCACAGCACTTTGTATTGGTCTTTCACGTGGAATTCCAACAAAATTGATTCATGTTTGTGGCTGCAATGTGACAAAATGTGGAAAGTTCAAGGGGGCCGAAGACTTTTGCAAGCCACTGTAAGTTTGGGCTTTTACTTTGCTTTCTGCCTCAATTTCTGCTGCAACATTTGGATTTTAGGGTTACAATTTGGCATAAATATGAAAGCATGGATCTGTTCTCCCTGGTGTCAAAGCATCAGGCTTTTGGCTGTGGTGTAAAAAAAGGGTGCAGCTATTTCATGCCAATTGAGCATCATTTAAACACCACAGCCTACCTGAATATTGTAGCTGACCACATCCATCCTTTAACGACCACGGTGTACCCTGTTGGAAGCTGCAATCTTCTGATGCTTCCAACGGGATAACCCACCACATCACAAAGTTCAAATAATCTTAAACACGAAAATGAGTTAACGAGTTAACTCCACCATCAACCGATTTCAATCCAGTGGTGGCATGCCCAGTTATTGCATATAAACATAAATAACAATAAAGCCCATGTTCTAAACCAGTCGTTCTCAATCTTTTGTTACATCGCTTCAGAAGCCAGATCCCAATTAAAAAAAAAAAAAAAAAAAAAGAAAGAAAAAGAAAAGCAGTACTCTTAAAAAATAAATAAATGAAAATTTTAAAAAACTGTGTCAGCTCCATCTTTCCATGATCATCAGGTGACTATAACACCCTACAGTTTGAGAACCACTGGTCTAAACTAAATACTAATGACTCCACTCAAACTCACACGTTCACGTTCAGAAGCTTTATTAAAGCAGTTCGGTCTCAGACAGGACACACGCATCTACTAGGCACAGTGCCTGCACTTTGTTCATTACAGCACATCTCCAAAGAGATTACTTTGTTTTTTTTAAATAAGCGAAAAATCATTGGTCATGACATAAGTGCTCTCTTTCTCTACAGTATCATTACTATTGATCAATAGTATCGCTATTCTTCTCCATCTACAAGGAGATGGGTAAACCCAGACCCCACCACCCATCATCCCATTGGTTCCTAATCCAAGTAGGTCTTCAAATATTCCTGTGAGAGATGAGCTTTCCTCCTGGTCCACTTGAAGAAGGTCCTCTTTTACTTCCTCTCATAGTAGAACCATTTATCAACTGCGAATGAAAACAACCGTGTAAATCTCACATCTGAACACTCAATCTCAGAATCATAACAATTATATGAAATGTTACCTGACGAGGGGACAGGGTCTTCTTTTCCACACGGGCATGTCTTTAGAAAGAAAAAAAAAATAGAAAGAAAGAAAGAAACATCCATCAAAGAGACCCAAATTTGAAATTTCTGATGTTATATTGCAAAATCTGGCAGGGATAGAAGTCTTACCTCACCAACAGCAGCAGTAGCCTCATCTGCAGAGCAGCAGAAAGGGCTGTCGCCAGCTGAGACACATGTGTTTTTGCTGTTTTGTTTGATAATATAGAGATTTATAGTAAGTATGACTACTTATATTCAAGAAATTATTGGCTGCAAGTTTGCATTTCTTCTAAAAGCAGCTGATAAAAGTCAGAGTTTACCAGTTCAGTTCACCAGCCCTAGCCTTTTGGGAAATGAGGGCTTTCCAAAAGTTGTGAGTGCTCTTGATTACTTCAATGGCAAAGTCCTGAAACATAAAACAGCAACTACATATGAGTGTAGGACTTTTAATAGTAATTATAAAGTAATCAAAGCTTTTATAACTGAACATGCAGGAACTAATTTGACAGTTCCTTGAACTGTTTTATAACTGAATGCTGAGTTTGACAAAGAAGGAAATGCTGACAAAGTGTTTAAAAAATGACTGGTTGGCTAAATGAGATGTTAGGTGGAGACCTTGTCTTTGAACTCCTCATTGAAAGCAAACTGGTTTTCTGGTTTCCCATCTGGTACTTTGTACCTCCTGAACCAGTCGACTGTGGCCTTCAGGTAGCCAGGTTTCAGGCGCCGGACATCACCGATGTCTAATGATGGACAACGTCATCGTCATAAGTTCATGACGCTAATGCAGAAAAACGAAAACTGAGAAATCTGAGGCACTTACTGTTAAACTCGCTGGCCTCGGGGTCATCAACATTGATTGCAATCACTTTCCAATCTGTTTCACCCTCGTCGATCATGGCCAGGATGCCAAGGACTTTCACTTTGATTACTTCACCACGGGAGCACACCTACACAGGACATTCCAGCTCGTGGTTAATTTTCAGTAACAAAGAAGAAATCACATAAGTAT